TCGAAAATCCCTTTTGAATAATAAAAATGGCAAAAACTCGGTACAGTTCAAAACTGTTTATATTCATATTTATAATACATTATTTTATAACAATAAATTATTACAAAATTGTCACGTCTCAAAACTATTTATGATGTACATAATTTTAATAGATTAATTTATAAAAATAATTCAAAATAAGTAGGATGTTTCAATGTAGGTAAAAATTGAAGTTAAAGATTCCATCACAAACAAACTATAAAATACAGGGGAAGCGCACAAATCGTGGTAATAATATTATTCCTACAATAAAAAATATTACGGATTGTTTTAATGGGTGTATAAGAAAACAAAACTACATAGCGGTGCGACTTATAGTAAGCTATCACGTATCGCTTAGGCAAAAATATAACCCCCGTTGAAAAGAGACATTGATAAGGCGGCATTATTATTCCGTACGTACACCCTAAAACGTGATCTCATTTCGCGTGTCCCGAGTTTTCTTCAATATGTCAAGATTTGCAATTCAAAATTTCTTAAGATGTCATATCTCGTCTTTTGATTTCTTCTCGCAAGAAATGCAGCAATATAGAGGAAATAATAAATGTAATGTAGGAAAAAAATTAAAAATTAAATTTAGTTCTGCAATCAGTTTGCTGTTTTCTTTACAAAATATATTTTTGTCTTCACAAAAACATTCCGGTTCAGTAGACAAATAATGTATCTTAAGTAGTGATGGAAAAACGGACAAATAAAAAGAGTTCAAGAAGAATTAAACAATGCTAAGTCTAGGAGTAATAATCATCGATTAAATTTACAAGTCTATCCTAATTCAAAGTGAAGATTTCTGCGGTTTCATGTATTAATTTTATGTGCTGTTGTTGTACCACGCCTAAGAAGGATATTTAAACTTTACGAATTACTGTGGTGGAGCTGACTGCCACGCTCACATAAAGAGACGGTAAGCACGGAAAAGTTTATCGATCTCAACAGTGCCTATGCAGCTATAAAGTTTTCACAGTATATCTCATTGCAACTTTTAAGTATTCCTATAAGACAGATTGGATTCGAATAATAACACTGTGGCTTACCTCTCTTTAATGATAATTAATCTGAGTAGGTACTCATTTTTATAAGACAGTTGCAAAATATGCCATTAAAGATAACTAAGGACTACGATTTTTTTCTTTTCTTAAATTCTATTCCCATTTGGCCCTCATTATCCTACCTACACGTGGTTTCGTTGAAAATTTTATGTTTATTACGAGTAATCGAGTTTCTAGTTTACATATTTTGTTGAATTTACGCGACTAGACTTATTAAATGAAAGTATTGTTCTGGATTTATCGCGTTTATATTTAATTTTAGTTGCCGAAGTTTCTACTTTTGAGCGATTAAAAGAAGCCGACCCTACAATACCAGGAAACGCTCTTTAGCATTCTACTGAACACTATGAAACAGCTATCGCCCTAGGCATAGCAATGAGGGAACCGCCCTTTTAAACATGATTTATTGCTTGTTATTTGATTTAGGTGAGATTATGCGTACAAATATTCAACGTTTGTCTAAAGTTGAAATTTTCCATGATATTTACACGTTAATAAATATTCTGTTGAAAACGAATAATTTCAACTATTTTATCGATAGACGAATTCATCCTAAGTAAACTGATAATAAGTAAAAAATATTTAGATATACGAAATTGGCATCTCTTGAAAAGACAGGTATTCAAGTGTCACCTTCAGTGATATATCTTTAGAATATATGACCGTACTTCTGCGAAAGTTTGCATTTGTAATTTATGGTGAAACTTGAATTCTTAGACTGGCATTTTTTATTACTTACGCCAGAGAATATGATATGCGTATATTATCTTATGTTTATTTATTATGTTTATGTATCTTACTATTACTTTCTATATCATTCACCTACATTCACACAAAACGGTGTTATTAAACAGACATGCTTAATTTCTGACTCGAAGCCATAAGACAGTGTTTCATATATTATCTGTAAAGGTACAATACAGATGTTTGATTCCAGTACAGATTTTTCGATCAAAATTTATGGAATACAGTTTTTTAATATCGAAAGTTGCCAAGTGAACAGGCGGTTCACCTGATGTGAAAATGAATACCGCCGCCATTGACATCTGCAACATCCGATTGCATGCTGATGCGTTAGCAACATTATAATTTTAAACGTGTATTGTTCTATTATATTATTTTAAGATGTGAGATGCAGCAGCAGTCATTGACTAACATATCAGACTACAGGCGGCATAATAGGCACATCTCAAAATATGTATATGCAGCAAGACTTATGCAATTTCAATACAGTTCATATTGAAGTAGCTATACAGCGAAACCTACAGGTCAATCGACGAATCCAACTTCGATGGGCAGCGTTAAGGAAACTTTGGCATATCTTCTCGTTCAATATCTCTCAATATTAAAATAAAAAAAGTCTTCAATTGATGTGTGTTGTCAGTAATCACCTATGGAACTGAGACGTAGTCCTTCACTGCTTGCCGTTTAAGAAAGTTCAATCACTCAGCGAGCTATGGGGTGGGCTTTGTTCGGTATTTGTCTGCGTGATAGAATCGGCAACGAAGATACCCGCAGCATGAAGTAGCAATGGGCTGGCCATGTAGCTCGAAGAACCGATAACCGATGGGGAAGAAAAGTTCTCGAGCGGCAGCCTCGTAATGGTCATCGCGGCCTAGAAAGACCCCGCACTAGATAGAGTGACTACCTGTGCAAGGAAGTCGATGGATAAGGTGTCCTGTTTCTCAAAAGCTGAATGATTTTATTATGCTCAGGTGATAAAAATAATATAGTTATAGAAAAACATCGTTAGATTTACGCTTTATAGGTAAAACATCAACATAGAACGTAACAGGTTTTAGAATTTAATTTAAAATAATTTACATCTCAACCAGCTCGTAATGTAGGCAAAGCTCTCAATTTAAATACATTACCTGAAAACTCAATAGAACGATATAGTTCCAACACTGACTGATTCAAAACGGGTTGCGGCAAAGCACCTTACCCTAACGAGAGATGTGACTTGATGATGCAAATTGAGCTACTAATTATATCTACACACAAGATGTCAAGATTTAGGTTGTATGCAAACCAAATGTTTTACATCATAAATAGAAAACGAGAACATTTTCCTATACAATTGGCATAGCTTTTAATTAGTCTTCTTCTGAAAATTTCAAAGTCAGCAATCAAAAATGTCTGAACTATAAACTAATCCAAAACATTCAGAGACCAATAAGACCACATATTACATTAAGAACAGATTTATTGCTTTCAAAGTATCACTAGTTACAAATTTTGTATTCTTCGCGAACTTTTATCAACATAGATTTAAAAAAAAAAAATTGCAATTCCTTACGTACCAAACTGCAATCACTGCCCTTTGGTTTTTAAGAGAATATAATGTAACGTCCTGAACTTTCCTTAAATAATGTATTATCGTTCAAGTGCGCCTTCAGATGCGCATGCAAATAACATAGAACGAATGTGTTACTTTTTTATGTGGAGCTGGCGGTTCACCTGATGTTAAGTGAAACGCAAAAGTAAATTGTATTTACGCGATTAAACATTATAAATCAAACAATTTTTAACTGATTTATCACGTTCATTTTTAATTTCAATTTCCGACGTTTCACTATGTCGCATGTTTACAGTTATACAAATAAATTTAACTATGGTAGGGCCACGCAACATCCTTCGCTGTTTCACGTATTGGCATGTTCGTCCGGGTAAGAACCACGACCTCACTGAAGACCGGCGTGAAGTGGAAGTTTTATACTTCCGCGTTTCGTCCGGTGAGTGAGGTAGCCGGGGCCCACTTTATTACAGAGGGTGGCTATCACTTAACAATCAGGTGAATTGCCAGCTCGATGCCACCTTCTCACATGAAAAGAAAACAAGACAAGAAAAAAACTATATGTCAAAAAGGAACGGACAAATGAAAGAACAATTTCCTAAAGGGGTATCGTTAGGTTTTTAATATATATAATACGTTATTTAATTGTAATCGTATGCATTAAAAGGCAGCTCTATCAATAACCACGCTTCGCTAAAGAAACATCTAACAAATACGAACTGCCCTGAAATAATGGCTTACATAATAATTTGTCAAAGTAAAGCTTCTGATTCTTATCTTAAAACGTGACTGATAGTGGTATTTATATAGAATACTATCTTTATTTATATATACACCTACCTTCACCTTTGTTACTTTATTCATTTCATATATTAATTAAAATCAGGTGTATACTTAAATTCACTAATTAAATGACATCTTATAAGTGATGTAAAAAATAGAAATATTAGTATGGCACATAATAATATACCTAACTCAACAAACTTTTCAATTCTTGAACTAGTAAGATAAGTTTACTATATTACTTCATTAGATTATAATAATAATAATTTTCCACAATTTTTCGACTTTTAGATACATTTGAAATAAAATCTACAATAAGTAATTAATTACTTCAAGATAAGACAAAAATAACTTAATATTCTTTTCATTAATAATTTACAGAGAATACAATTCGATCATCTTAACTATATTTAAATTAATATTTAAATTTATGTTGAAAGTTCGTTAGATTTTTATTGTACAAGTGTCATGCTAATATTACGACTACAATTATATTGTAAGCGTTGTTATTCGAGAGATACAACATATCTTTCCATAATAATGAATACCTATTCTTTATCTTTTACATTTATGTCTGGTTTTGGTTCTTGTAAATATTAATTGTTTTAAATAGGCTTTACCTTTTAATAATGATTTTTTTTAAATATGTTTTTCTTTATCTCATCATGCATGATTTCATATACTCATGACTCTGTCGAATATAGCTTTAGTAACGAATCTCACACTGCAAATAAAAATCGAAAGCTATAACCGAGCACTTAAATTATTTTAACGCAATAGAACACTAGCGTTTCGTATAATTACTTAACAAAATTACATCAATAACGCCCACGTCAGCCCCAAATTCTATCTTTTGCTGATCGTGAATGTGCGCTGCGTCGCTGCGATCTGAAATATAACAAAATATTTTTCTGAAAAAGTAAATTAATGCTGAAGTTATAAATAACTAGCGACCGGCCCCGGTTTCGCACTGGTGCAATGTATTTTACATATTATAAACCTTCCTCTTGAATCACTCTATCTAGTAAAAAAAAAAAAATCCGTTCCCCATCAAGATCCGTTGCGTAGTTTTAAAGATACATAGGGACAGACATACAGCGGGACGACTTTGGTTTACACTATGTAGTGATTAGACATTAACCGTAAATAAGCTAGTGATAGAACTCATCATCAGCTTTCAGCTATCGACTTTCAGTTAACACCCATCAAAAAGCAATGCAAACATTTGCCGTGGTCCAGCATGATTTCTGATAAAGCCGTGGGGGGGGGGGGGGGGGGGGGGGGGGGGGGGCTTAACAGTAGCCTTGCGATTATTGTTGGGTGGATGGAATATAAAGATACATATAAATGAAAGTTTTACACTGTTTAGGTAACCGGTGTATAATACCAGAGTGCTTTGTTTTGAAAACCTGAAGGGAGGTGGACGTGAACAAAACTAGTGGACTATAGATCTAATTGTTTGTACACCTAATCTGTAATCTGTAAAGTTATTGAGCGTATATTGAACGCATATTTCATAGCATACCTAGAGCAAAACGATTTTGTCAGCGGCCGCCAGTACCAATTTCGCCGAAATTGTTCTTTCGGTTATGACTTTATTCCACTTGCTATCTCCATGTCTAGCAACATATTCTACACATTATACATTTTCGTCCTACGATGGATCTCAGTATTGCGGATGCATCTCTTAACCTGTTGCTCAACACAGAATGCTCAATAATCCATTATGCGACTCGAATTCTTTATCGTGATATTCTCTGACCTTTGGTCAAATAGTGCCCAAGATAAATGTAATGATCGACAAGCTCTAATGACACCAAGCGGTTGGAAATGCTTATGCGTGAGTCACCTGCCATACTGGATATCATATTTTTATATCAAGAAATTAACAAGCAAAACTTAAAAGGAATACTTACATATGCCTCTGCCGTCTTACAATGTTAGGTCTGACTTCAACGCATAATACTATCAACTTGTTGTCACATGAATATCTGTAAACAATTATAGTTGAAAATAATTATAGTTTGATTCAGAGAACACGTTTCATACAATACTGAAGCTGTTCTGGATAGTGTGGCATATTATTAATTTCTTAACATCGATAGGGTAGGTCCTACCACATAGAACAATGCCTTATTTCCTACATGATGTAAAAATGTTTTACCTACTTCACCTACTTGAAGTACCCCAGATTAGACTCAAATATCTTAGATAATAAAGGATCCTATCCATACCACCCAAGAATCGTAAGTCTCCGTTTTATAAGCTGGCTTATATAGCCGCGAGCGTATACCTTACCCTAATTGTTAGATATCTAAGATAAGGGTCCGGAGGATTGGCTAAAAATAATTTTAAAAAGCACTCTGAATGTAAGCCTCATAGTTTCTTTAAAGTTGAAGAAACCGTTCAAAAAAAAAGGTTGATTCGTAATATTTGGATGGAAATATTAAAGATGAAAAAGTGTTTAAACATTAGATTTGGTTAATTTTTCCTTTGCCTAATAAATTCCATGACAGCAAAATTACTTATTTCTTTTTGTCTCTCTATAATTTTACGTACCTCTCTTGTGTCGTCAGTTTTTTATCATAAATATTAATGGCGGTACCGAAGTGATCAGGGTTGTCACTTTGCCATTCTTGGCAAAAAGAGCTCGGCAATCGGACACCGAGCGTGTCGCTACCACTCCATATCGCTTTTAAACGCCTGAAAGAATTGTAATTAAAACTTATTCTAAACATAATTGAAAATGGTCAAATAACATAACAATTATCTCTTAATTTAAGGACTAAATATAACGAATTTTGCTATTCCAGCAATTTTTTGAACACAAAATTGCTTGCAGGCAGGTTACAAATTAATTAGTAAAAGTGTTTCTGATTATTTTATTAAAGGAAGAGCATATATCCCAGTGATGGGTAAAATCCTCTTCTATACAGATTGGGCATGGTCCACCACGCGACCCACTGAGGACTGGCAGACTTCAAACATCTCAGAAATATATGTTTGCTTATTTCGAATATTTCTTCATGACATTTTCGTTCACCACTGAGTATATGATATGTCAGCACTTAAAATTGCAATTAACAAATTCATTGGCACCGGCGGCCACCGCCGTGCTTTGAACTCAGGTAGCTCAAGAATACAAAATTAAAAGCGGGGGTGCCTGGACACTGAATTATCTCAGCTATATTCATATTGTTACTAAATTAAACTATTTTATGGATTTATCGCGTTTTGTTTTACTTTAATTCTTAATGTTTCGATTATATTTACGGGAATACTACTTTCCGAAATAAAAGTTTAAGTGGATAAAAATAATAAATTATCATTTAAATCAAGTGATTTACACTTTAAGAATGACATTAAATTATTTTCATGAGAGCTTCTGTTATTAGATTTACCATTTTTCTACGTATAAATAACAATATATCTTCAAAAAGCTGTATCTTAGTACTTTTTAATATCGTAGTTTACCTTCATCAAATTAAAGTTATATTACGTTGATTACACATCAATCCAAGTCTTAAATTTTAAATAAATTATAGCTGCTCACCACGTAGGATCAATAAGAATATTTTTTCCTCCAAAACTGTAAATATCTCCTTTAATCGATGCAGTTCCTTCCTTATTAAACAAATCGGTCCAAGAATCAAATAAAACATCTTGGTTAATGTTTAACACAGCGACATCTTTGTCCGGAGTCTTCAGTATAGATCGCAAGTCTTCCACCCTGTGATAGATAGATTCAAATTGACTTTTTAATTTATTTAAAATAAGGCTAGTACTTTCGAATTCGTTCTCGGGATGTCGCATAGAAAAAATCACTACCCTATAATTTATCTGACCATTAAAAGTCTTTTGTATAGCAGGTAGCAAAAATAGTGACATGCGTGTTATTTTACCAGTTTTTGTTTTTTATTTAGCAGAAAAGAAGAAATGTAGGCAATATTTCACATTGGATGACATAGGTAAGCTGGTGAAATTAATGAAGAAACATTATAAATTTCACAAACAATATTTTTAAGAAAAACAGATGGTACCATCATTGAAGCAAAGAAAAAAGCTTTACGCCACTACCAGATATATAATTCATAAATACAAAATAGAAATATACTATTATTAGAGTTATTTATTACTTTAATAAAAAAATCTTTTAAGAACTGTAATTGTAATTATGCAAATACATAAGCGGTTACTACTTTACATGTATGGTATGGTTTTAATTGTTATTTATATATTTTGAAGAAAGGTTACGTTATGTTAAGGTCACGTTCATAGTTTGTTTACTTATTTTTTATGTTATTTTATTAGTTAAATACCAATACTCCATTCGTTTTAGCTTTGGAAAAATAACGATAGTCATTGTGTAATATTGTTGAAATTACTGTAAAAAATTGGTGTCGGAAAACAGTTAGTTTCATCAAATTTTTCAAAGTAGTTCGGCATTTTCCGATTATTATATTCATTTTTGTTCTATGCCTAGTATTTACACCAAAAATAGTGGACTTTGAATCGGTTGAGGAGATCTTAATGTATAGAACACAATTTTTAAACAAAAACAGTTTTTCTAAACAAACATGCAACAAGGGAATCTTATATTATTTAACTTGCATTAGTTTGTTCCCCTGTCCTATATTAAAACAAATTTTAAATTAAAACAAACGTTAAATATACATTTTAGATGAGGAACTATTCTTAACATAATTTTTAAATAGTATGATTATGGAACATTTACTTGTTAGCTAAGAAAGCGGCAAACGTGCCCGTAAGGCCAGCCCTTTTTGACTGTACGTGGCATTCCTGATCGACAGTTTTCCTTCCGGTGCGGTTTGTGGCAGTCTCCATTTTACCCGAAAATGGCACATCGAGTGCAACAAGCCGAATCTAAAATAAACCAAATCAATTTAACATAAACTGGGATGATTGCAGCGTCCACTGATAACACTCCCCGTTTCTCTCTCTCCGTCCAAATGCTGTTATTACTTTCCAGAACTACACTTACAAAATTTTTCCGTCTCTGTTCTTCATTAACTTTGTGCAGAGCCTCCTGCGAAACAAATCAGATTTGAGTTTTTTTGATTTTTACATGTTTTGCTAAAATTTAAGTAAGCTACTTTGTCCCCGTCGTTTGGGTCTAGAAAGCTTTTTAATATTTTTTTTATATTTATTTTGAAATTTCTTCATAATGTAATGTGATAAAAAAAATATTTTTGTGTTTTGCGTAAACAGAGGTTGTGGTGTACCCGTAACAGAGGTCAATCGTAAGCTCGAGTAATAGAAGATATAAAAACTAAATAAATTTTTGCTCCTGTACACAGTTTAAAATTCTTACGTTTTTTGGTCTCCACATGGTTTTCTCAAACAGCGAACCCATCTGTAAAAAATATTGAATAATTAATTTCCGCTTCTTTAACTCATAACCTCTTTAAATTAGTGGTAATCTCTCTTATTTAAGTAGGGATATTATTAAAATGTATTTCTTTTAATACACCTACAATGATGCAATGGTTGCATCTCTCAAGAGTTTTAATTTGTGATACTTACCACTACATATTGCCAGCCATGTTCCACTCTTAACAACAAAACTTTTTCTTCTAAAACATAGGCCAAAGTTCCTAACGGAGTTGAACTAGTTCTCTGGAACGGAAGGAATGGTATAGCGCATAAGTGAATAATTTTATCATGTCATTGTTTTTAGGTATGCACATCATTGTGTTATCGACTTCGATGCTTTAAAGAATGGAAATGTACATATCGCACCGTGCGTAGAATAACGGTAACATAGAAGGACTTTGATTTTATCGTCGGAAAGTCTTAATTATTGTCTACACTAACATTTTATTTTTTTCGTCTGACTTATGGATATTGAGATTCAGAATAGATTAATATTTGTGCTCCGCAATTCAAAGACATATGTACGTTAAAACATTCTTTTTTGTACTGATTACATTAGCTTGCTTATGTAATAGACGAGTGTTAAATATTCTATGATTCAATTTATAATTATTGCACATTCACCGATTTTTTATGATTTTTCATTGAAAAAAGTGCTACATCATATATATTTTGTGAGTTTTTAGTAGAACAACGTTATATATGAATGTGTGACCCATTATTTTTTTGAATGTTTCGTTAAACAACTTTACATAAACGTGTATATTTGTACTTGTGACCCATCAGTTTTTGTCATTTTTCGTAGGAAACTAGTACACATGAAACCTCTTATTGCCTAAATATACATAATTATTTATTTAAAAGTTTACTGTTTGTTTATATACCTAATCATATTATAAACCTCAAAAATTGTTTAGCAACTGCTATGTATGAGAAAACTATAACCAAAATAAAAAATAAAAAAATTTGATCAGCCGTCCTGAACAATTACAATTTTGCAGATGTCACGTTGTTCTACGCAGGTTGCGATATATGAATTGATTTAGATATTAATTTAGATATAAATATTTCAAGAAACCGAGTTATAAATTAAATTTCAATAATTCATTTAACATAACTCTGTCACGCATTACTTGGAAAGCATTTGATAATAAGAGTATGATAATGATGAACTTTAAATAATCACTTACTTTTAATTTTTTAAAATATTTTTGTATTGTTTTAATGACTTCTGATTTTATTGTTTATTACCATTTTAAATTTTTTGCATCTTTTTCACCAGATGCAGTAAAACAATTATTTACTTACTTTTATAAGACCTCGCGCTGTTTTGTAAATCATTGTTTCTGTAGCGTAAATTACATCATCATCATCTGGGTCAACTGCAATTTAGTATAAAAGGGTGTCGTTAGAATAAAAACAAACTTCATAGTTTTATCTCTAATATAAAATAATGTGCAAAAACAAAAGTATTCATTAAGGAATAAAAACCGTTACTACGATTCATCATTTATTACAAGTACAATAAGCGATTTTGACTTAAAAATATAAGATTGGTTATAAACACTTTTTTATTTATATTTATGTGGTAAACTGTGCAGGTTGAAATGAGTAGACTGGTATCCAAAAATTATTTACAATCACCGTTACAAAATACAAAGAATTAGGGAACGTCTTCGTCTTCGCTAGCGTCAAGCAAGACTCGCCATCTTTCTTTTTAACCCTCCTCTCATTCAACCAATATCAATCATTCATTTAATTTACATTCGACTCACTCATTTCATTTCTTAATTCTTCCACCCAGTCCTTGAGTTCCGTTCCAACATTCATTATAATAAACTATATTCAAGGTTCAGTAGTACCGTTGCTGGATGGGTTCGATTCCCACACGGAACGACTATTTATGTGACACACAGATAACTGTTTCAAATCTGCGTTTGTTTCCCAAGTGGTAGATGTCAAGCCGTCGATCGATCGTAAAAAAAAATAGCCGAAAGACTTATAGCATGATTCACATGTTGTGGCGACCAAAACTAAGTGATGATTAAAGAATGATAGTTACCAGTATTAACTCCAAAATTATATAACGTCTTCCTGGAAATAATCCCACCGGGTTCGCCTTTTGGACCTGATATAGATATGCCGGGAGTACCGGGTGGCCCGGGGGGACCAAGTGATCCAGGTGGACCTGGTAATCCAGGTGGACCAGGTGGCCCCAAAACAGGCACGCTATCCTTGTTCTTTTCGCAAACACCAGGTGGGCCCATTTTTCCTGGCTCTCCAGGAGTGCCCGCTGCTCCCGTTTCACCCTTTTCACCTTTGAGCTGTAATTATCTAAGCTTTCAGAATTAATTGATAAACAAAAAATGGAGCGGCAATAACACTTTTTACAAACGGTTAAAAAAGAAAAATATAAATGGTTAATGTTTTGTTATTATATAATTTATTAAAATGCTAAAGACTCAATAATGCACATGCATATTACATTGTATTATAGTATAGTAGGTACTATTGGCTTTAAAATTAGAAAAAGATATAAAATATTTAATACCTAAATACCTTTTCCAAGTTTATCTCTGGCATTTCTCCTCTTTCCCCCTTTTGTCCTTTTATACCCGATGCTCCAGGTGCACCTTCAGGACCCTTTTAAACATTAAAATATTTATCAAAAATAAAAATATGTTTAAGACACATAAATTATTTATGAATGAATTACTCTTTCTCCCAGCGCACCAATATCGCCTTTCGCGCCTTTTTGTCCAGGTGGTCCCACGGGTCCCCTTTTTCCCCCTGGTCCAACGGGCCCTCGAGGACCACTCGAGCCGGGTGCACCATGATCCCCTTTAGGTCCCTAAGAACATTTTTTGGACGATTTAAGTTTACTGTTAAAAGTGCACAGTAGTCAGTTCACCGAAGGTTAGTTTACCTTCATACGCTTCAATGTGTTTAAAGGTACAATTCCTGGCGGTCCAATTTTGCCTTGTGCCCCCTTTGTCCCATCCGATCCTTTAGGACCAATATCGCCTTTTTCGCCTTTAGGTCCATTTTCTCCCGGTGATCCTCGCATACCATCTACTCCAGGAGCACCAGAAAAACCCATATCCCCTTTGTCACCCTTCTCGCCCTTAAAAAATTTAATTATGAAAACTGCATAAGTTAATCATTTAAAATGTAATACAGACTGCTTTTTTTTTCTACCCAAACTAAAGTGATTATGAAATGGGATGCTACTGAATAATACATTGTCTTATTGAAACAATAAGAGAAAACCGTTGTATATTTGAAACTATTTTTTGTTTGTTAATTATTATCGGAAACTAGTTTTTTAATCACCAGTGCATATGTGTGTGTATTGTGTGATCACTATTGAAGGTAATCAGTTCTATAATAATATCTAATATATATAATTCTCGTGTCACGGTGTTTGTAATTGAACTTCTCCGAAACGGCTCAACCGATTTTCGTGAAATTTTGTGTGCATATCGGCCAGCGTGGAGAATCGGACAACATCTATTTTTCATCCCCCCTAAATGTTAAGGGTGGTACTCCCCAAAATTTTTTTTCTACCCTACAATTAATTTATATGGCAAAACAACGTTTGCCGAGTCAGCTAGTACTATACAAAATTTTAATTGAATTTTCTACCTTTTCTCCGGATTTTCCCAGTTCTCCTTTGGAACCCTTCAATTTTTCAATGATCATAGCTTCTGAAATTTAAAATTGTTATTGTATTATTATTATTTTATATACATAGTATAGTATTTTATGTGATATTCCTTATAAATTGGATTTTTAATGATCTCTCTTTTTTAATTTTAATATCAATGAACCTACTTAAACTTTTTTGGACCTCACAAAGTTTGAGTGGTAGATAATGCTGATGGCATTAAGTCCACCTCTCTACATATTTTGTGAGCATAAAGTATAAATAAATAAATATAAAAGTTTTATAAGTGCAAGTCCTTTTTTCACTATATTTTTTTGAGATAACTTTATTAATGTTCACTCTTGTGTCAATGTGTCAAAACATAAATAAAAGTACAAACCAAGTCAAAGTATGTTGTAGCTGTTAAGTATATTCATTTTTAGTACTTTTGTTCGTTACGTATTTTTGGAACCTACTACAATAATTACTTCAGAGATGTATTGTGAAAAATAAGTAATGATGAAGATGAGTTAATTATATACTTATCACCAAAAATATTATGTAAAATGGCAATTTCCAAGATAAAGAGGAATATTACCAAATGATCGGAATTATTTTTTGTATTAATTAATGCAATTTCTTATTTACTTTCGACGGGATCCAGAGCTGCATCTAGTATATCGGAGAGCTTAGCAGGTGTTCCCTTTTCGCCCCTTTCTCCCGTAGCTCCTGAAATGTGTATAATGTAATGTTTGAAGTACATTACTCAATTGTATAAGACAAATGAAATTTATTTTAGTAAATATCAAGCAGCTTACCGCGTACTTATTGCACTCACAAATATTTAAATCGATAGAGAAACATAACAATTTTTTTAATGTTGAGTTAAATTATTATATAAATGTGGTAGGGGCACGCAGCAATTGTGGTAGGGTCACGCAGCTAACTGTGGTTACCTCGGCTGTTGCACGAATGGGTAGGCTCGTCCGGGTAAGTACCACGACATCACAGAAGACCGGCGTAAAGTGGAAGATAATACTTTCGTGTTTCGTCTGGTGAGTGAGGTGGCCGGAGCCTAATCTTCAAAAGGTTGTCAACGCATCTGCATTCCTCGTGTGTAGCAGATGTCCATGGGCGGCGGTATTCACTTAACATCAGATGAACCGCCTGCTCGCTTGGCAACTTGTCACATAAAAAAAGTGAAATTATCTGAATTCAGTCGCTTACACCTTGGATGTGTAACCCAGCTTCGCACCTTAATATTCAAAAATGTACACCAAACGAACTTAACCGATATGCTTGTGTTAAATTAATGTTGAACCTAATTTATCTTAGTTCGCAATGATAACAACAAGATTTTTTTATTAATTTAAGAAACATTTTGTAAGCGCTTTGATAATGGATATGAAATTAAAGTACCTAGTTGTTGATGAATGGTTTTTTGTATTTAGAAATATTACCAATCGTGTTGACGAATTGCTCAATTAAAAAAAAAATACTGTTGATACAATATGCGTGTTGTGCGATTTTTTGTAAATATGCGATTTGATTTTGAACTATCCTGCGTTACTGTATTCACCAACAAAGTCGTAAGTTACCCCTAGTAACTCAAAAATTAATGATATACGAGAAGTAATGGGGCATTTTCGTAGTGAAAATTATTTGTTTAAATATATTTTTTTTGTGGTTTTTTTTTTTTTTTTTTTGGCTTAAATTATAAATGTATAAAAAAACTGTACCAAAAGATTCGGCGCTGGCTGTATTCGAACTTTCTTATTTTATTTTAAAATTTTTGGTTTATTTGATTTTCACCTAGTTACGCTTATTAATTATCTATCGATTAAAATTTCTTTGTAAGTGCACTACGTACACAATAAGGTGCTGTACAATTACCTTTATGTCAGTATATTTTATAAACATAGGTACGTATAGACATATAAGAACAACAACGCTTATATATATAGACAAACCGATGCACGATTGTTAGGTAAGAATGACGTTCAAAAACATGATATTTTAAGGCACTGTATGCAGTAAAAATAGGTTTTTCAAATTTTTTTTTAACAAAATCTGTACATTTTATAGAAGCAAAAAACATGTTTGTTATTGAAGTAAAATATTTGTAAATATTAATTTAATTCATTAAAATTAATTCGAACGCGATGACCAAAACACCACGCCACCGCGGCGTTGTTTCGGTTCTCTTCCACACGTTCCACACACATTAAACAGAGAGCGCTGAGGCGCCTTGCTAGATGGATCTATGCTGCTCATCGCCGTTCACTCACCGTTACGAAATATGTGTCGTATTTATTTATTATTGAGAGTTTTAATTTTATTAGACCTTCGAAAACACGAAACTAAAAATATATATATTTCACATATTTCGTATTTATAAATTATTTGTATGTATTAACAGTTGTTAATTAATTTATTTAAAGCATAATTTCAATGTCTTTTCTCATGTAATTTCTCGTGATTGAATCGTGAGTCTATCAGTCCTATACATACAGTGTATAGGACCATCATTCTTTATGGATTGGGTTCAAATCCCTAAATTTTTTGTTGTACTTATTTTTGTTTTTTTTATTTTCATATACAGCGTGTCGTTACCATCGCGACAGTAAATGAACACACATATAGGGGATAACTTTTTAAAGTTGTATTAAACATTTAAATTGTTTAAACATCAACATAACAAAGAATTTTAGAACACCCTTACCTATAAAAGCGTAACGTAAAGTTCCTTTGTAAAGGTCACAAAGCATATGAATGGGTTGAATGAATTTAAAAGAGACAAAACATACTGTTAGAAGGAGAGGCTTGTTACAAATTTTGTTTCTTTTTTACTTAATTAGTTTGTTTGAAAAATTTTTTTTTTTTAACTATGGATTTTGTTTAACGTTAATATTTTTTTATGATTATTGGCAAGTAGCGTTAGAAGTGTGTTCATTTATTGTCACGATGGTAACGACATGCTGTATAATTAAAACGAAATATTATTGTATTTGTTCAAGGTTGAAACAGTTGGAGAACAATCTATCAGTAAATAAACCTTAGTAAATAACTTTTAGTATTAAATTTTTTTAACGTCATCTATTTTTTTATTAATTTATTTAATTGATCACCCTAAAACGAAAATTTATCTTATACACGAAAAATAATTATTTTAAATTTTTAATTTCTTTTATAAAATAAAGAACAAAATAATTAGTTGGCTAACAAATTAAAAATGAAAATGACATAAAAAATACAACTCCATTCGATGAGTGATTTGAACTTGGGACTACAGCAAGTTTACCGTTGTGTATGACGGTCGGACCAACAGGCTACGCGAGGTCTGTGCAAAGTGACAAAATTTCGATTCTAGTTATAATTGCTGTCGTTTATCGATACAAATAAGGATTTTATCGATAGTTTTTTAAATTTCATTTTAGTTGAAAAAGTAATATAACATAGTAAGTCTTCAACATTTAAAGGATAAATTAAAATTCCAGATATACAGCGTGTCGTTACCATCGCGACAATAAATGAATACACATATAGAGGATAAGTTTTAAAAATTGTATTAAACATTTACATTCTTTAAACATCAGTATTTACCGAGTTATAAAATTTTCCAAAATAAAGAATTTTAGAACACCCTTACGTATAAAACTGTAACGTAAAGTTCATTTGTAAAGGTCACAAAGCATATGAATGGGTTGAATGCATTTAAAAGAGACAAAACATACTGTTAGAAGGAGAGGCTTGTAATGCGACGCTGTGGCGCTCGTTGTATAGGATGTTACAAACTTTGTTTCTTTTTTACTTAATTAGTTTGTTTGAAAAATATATTTTTTTAATTATGGATTTTGTTAAACGTTAATATTTTTTTTTGATTATTGTTAAGTTGCGTTAGACGTGTGTTCATTTATGGTCGCGATGGTAACGACACGCTGTATAAAAAAAATGTGATAAAAAAAGTTGTATTTGTAATTTCTGCAAAAAAAAATTATGAGCCATTTCTTTAAAATCACAATATAAACCATCAAAACAAAAAAAAATTATAATTATAAGTAATTTGCCTTTATTAATTTATTTGACTATAAGACGTATTATAGTCAAATAAATATTAATCAATTCCTTTTCCATTTAATTAAAAAAATAATAATAAACAGGGAGAAGATATTCTAAAATTGTTGATTGCTTTCTCATACTTTATTTATTATAATATAAAAGTAAAATACAATCATGGTCTATTAAAGATATTATAGGGATCATCTGTGTACATTTTCGAAAGCCTTCCATGATACTATCGATAGTATCCTACGGCCCATCACTACACACACACTAGGTAATGAATGACGCGGTCTAGCGGCGCGTCGATGAAACTCGCGCGCTACGTGCCGCTAAGCGACGTTACCCCTCCTCCGCTTCCCCATACTTCACCACCCAAATAGTTAAAAATTCACTGTATACAGCGCCTTAAAAACGATACTGTACCTTTATCTCCCTTTTCTCCAGGTCTTCCATGAGCTCCTGGAACTCCTGATTCACCGTTTAATCCTGGATTTCCGGTTTCACCTTTTTCACCCCGTAGACCTTGTGGTCCATCGTATCCCTTTAATTTTTCACGCAATATTAGGATCCTTGTGTATGTAAAAAAAAAAACCGTTTGCAATATTTTCATTAAATATCATAATAAAAAGTGTTTATTGCAACGAATTGCGCAATTATTTTATTTATAAGATAATATGTCTCACAGAATTCGCCCTTAATAAGATAGACGTGTCATGCCCCATGTCTGCGATATAAACAATATTCAATAGAAATATTAAAAGTAAATTATTTTATTGACAGACTAGCTGACCCGGCAAACGTTGTTTCGCCATATAAATTATTTCTAGGGAATTTATGAATATGAATGCATAGAAAAAGAATTTTCGGAACGCAGGCATAAAATGGAAGAGAACAGCATAAAATGGACAAGAAACACTTTTCTAAATTTGATTTAATGTATGAAAAAAAAAGTATATTTAATTATTCACTCATAAACATCTATAGTTGTAGAATTTTACCTGCAGTTGTTTCAAATAATAAGAGCAAGGAGTTAGACAGTTTGAGCGATTCAGTGCAAGATATACTAAGAGTAATAATAACAAACTGTGGTAGAGTTACAACAGCTTTCGCTGGTGCACGAATGGGCAGATTCAACCAGTAAATACCATTCATGACCTAAAAATAAAAACGTGAAGTAGAAGTTTTATGTATACTTTTGCGTTTTATCTAGTGAGCGAGGGAACCGAGGCCCTCTTTATTAAAAGTTGGCAACGAAACTGTCACCCTACGAGTATTAAAAATGTCCATAGGAAACGATTATCACTTAACATCAGGTGAACCACAATAGTGCTTGTGCAGCGATTATCATACGTTTTCTAGTAGTAAGTTTAATTCTAAGTTCCATGCAAACAGGGAGTAATAGATTATGTTCAAGATTCATTCCGTACCCGATCACCTTTATCTCCGACTAAGCCTCGCTCGCCTGTTGTCCCCTTTTCCCCTTGTTCACCCTTTTCTCCTTTTAAACCGGGTGGTCCAACAGGGCCCCTGTCTCCTTTTTCACCGACCACAGGAACCATGCTTTTTTCTTCTCGCTTTTAAATAAATAAATAAATTAATTAATTAATTAAATTTAATGTCTTAATTTAATTTTCATCCTATTTTTATTAGCTCTTATTATATATTTGTATTCTGTTATTTCTATTCTTGTAGTGTGAAAGTCTGGTCCATACTACCAAAGACTTTCATGCTATAAGACTACCTTAATAGCCGAAGACGAATAATGGACATGTGTTTCCTACATCGATAACTTCATGGCAAAATTAAATGCGGTAGCTTCCTCGAAAGTCTCTCCTCTGTCCCACGAACGTAATAGACGGAAAACTGGTAATTTGTTTCACATTCCAGTTACGAAAACAAACCTTGGCATACAATCCCCTCAAGTTAGATTAATTAGATAATACAACTATTTAGTTAAACAAATAGCCGATTGTGGATATATTTTATTGCAGTCTGAATAGATTTAAAGAGATGCTAACAAAACTATATATTAGTCATTAATTTTAATTGAAAATATTTATAATATTTTTAACTTATACTCATATTACTAAAACACCCACTTTATTATTTCATATTGTTGTCAATGCTATGAACACCGTTATTTTGCACCGCAGGAAATAAGCCACTATAAGCTCTTTTGTTAATTAGACTAATTAATAATCGAAAAGTTGGCCATTTGGGCATTTTGTAAAATGTTCGTAAATACACTTTGTGCAATATTTGAAGGACTATAACAATACAAATGAATCACCTCACATGGCAGCCCTGGTGGTCCAGCTGGACCCACATCACCTCGTAGCCCTGGTGGTCCAAGAGCACCATCCTTTCCAGGTTCACCCTTAGGCCCAGGAAGTCCATCTTTGCCTGGAATCCCCACGTCACCTCTTTCACCCTTATCACCAGTAAGACCCATCGGACCTCTTTCACCTTGGATTCCAGGAAGTCCCTGAAAAATGTAATAAAGACAAATTTATTTTTTTAGTTTAAGGGTTATAATTTTTGTTTAAAATGTCAGTCCCACTTACTGTCTTACCAGCAACTCCAGCATCTCCGTCAGCCCCCCTAGGTCCTGGTTCACCAGGTGGGCCTTTCATTTCGGGCATTGTTTTGATCAATGTCGAAACTACATTTTCCGAACATTGGCATGCCTAAAATTATACATGGCTATTTAAATCAAAAATTATTTATAAATAAGACAAATAGATAAATTTAAGAACATAAACAAAATATGTTTTTAAAGATGTCATTACAGTAAAATTAACATGAAATAAACTTTGCTTTTAGCTGTATAAAAATTATGTGTAAACAAAAAAATGTTTTATAAACACGTCACAGTGACTTTGAAAGGTGTTTATAAAACATTTTTTTGTTTACACATAATTTTTATACAGCTAAAAGCAAACCTACCACGTCGTTTAGTGGTTACGTTTGAATTTAATATCAATTTTTAATTATAAAAGAATACGTTTTAGCAAAAACAACAAAACTCAAAAAAAGTAAAGAAATTAAGTGGCTTACCCCAGTTTCTCCTTTACGTCCTGGTAAACCAATAGGACCCTGAGGGCCTATTGGACCTTGAGGTCCTTGAATGCCTTTGATAGATTCACCAGGTTCTCCCTGTTAATAATAATGCCAAGTTTTATTTGCAACTATAAAAACAATTAATAATTATAATTGATAATTATAGTTATTCATTGTTTTTACTTTAAAAAAATTAACAGAATAAATACGTTTTTTACCACCTGCATTTTTTTTGGCTACATTTAATTTTCGAGAGAACGGCTCTCTTTAGAGACAAGATTCGGTCAAAAATATTGTTGTGCGTGGCCCTTAATTCTATAGCATATACCACAAATACATAGTCTCTATTGAGAGATTCATATTTGCGCCATTACTACCTGAGTGAATTGAAGCTGCCTTGTATGTCTGCCTTTTTTGTTATTTGTTCGAAAATATGCAGGATTCTACACGATGTTTTCCTTCACCGTAGAGCACGTGATAAGTCAGTACTTAAAATTAACCATTTCATTGGTGCTGGCGGCCGGGATTGAACTCCGGTTGCTCGATTATATTGAATTAAAGGTGAGTGCCCGGACACTGAGCTATTACGGCTTATAAAGCCACGTCTAACTTGTAAGAATATAACAAAATTACTCTATTGTGTAGCTTATTTCGGTACTAAAAGTAGATTTGTTATATTTATTTCAAAACACACCTTGGCACCAGTAGCACCTTTCGTACCCGTAGCACCTGTTTCCCCTTTTGCACCTTTCTCTCCTATGTCACCCTTCTCACCCTTTTCACCCTTCTGTCCACTTTCGGTTTTGAACTGTGAAAACTTAAAATTTTTAAAAATACTCACGAGAAAGTTAATTATTCAAGTATTAAGGGTTATTTACAAATATAAAAGTGCAATGGAAGCTGATAATAATATTGAATAAGCATGTCATGGCAATAATAATAACAGCAACAATAGTTGTTTCCCATCACAACCATAAAATTTGTTTAAATACAAATAAGGAAATCAAACGGTGGTCCAACGGTAAGGGTGTCACACACCTCTATATTAAGAATAATATTCCATGATACACATACACATTTAACTGCTGGTAAAGGTGATAATTATTATTATCGATATTATAGGGGATATTGATTTATTTTCTTATCTGTTTGGGTTTATAAATAAAAATAAACATACACATAATATATTTTGTCTATAATAAATAGATAGGACCCAACCAAACGGAAGCCCTCGACAGGGAAGACCAACTGCCGAGGGTTAGAGTGAAAGACGACAAACCGGTGGATGATGTGGGCTGTATCGAGATAGATCTGCATTTGAGATCGAAACGATCCATCCCGGAGTCCTAGTCGCATCAGATGTTCGTAGAGGCTGACTGGAATTAACCATTCACAGAAAAGACTAGCAGGAAAATTTTGGTTGACACTCCACCCCACATGTCGGTCACCTTGTGAGCCAGGTCCAGATATTTCGTCTTCTTATCTGTTTCGGCTTTCACGAGGTTTGCATCATATGGAATGTCATCCAAAAATACCCGCGACTATGCTAGTTCCATCAACACGATATCAGGTTTGTTCCCGAGAGTCGGCCTGTCCGTGATGATGGGCCGTACCCTGGCGCGGTCATTTTCGAGCATGGCACCGGATAGTACTAATAAAATAATACGGCAGCTTCCGATCCACGAGACCGTATTTCAGAACGAGCTCCTGGTGGAGGATTCTAGCTACTAGGTTGTGTCTATGCAGATACTCGTAGTGAGAATGTATGGAACAATCAGAGACAAGATTATCAACAATATTATTATGATAATGCTATCTCCGCTGATGAAGCCAACCAACATGATCAATATTATCATTATAGTATCAAACTGATAAATGGTAAATAATTGACTACCATCCCGCATGGTGACCACTCCAAGCACTCGGTAGGGTGCAGTAATTGTAGATTGTACATTAGCTCCTCAAAAACTGGTCATTCACTATTGTAGATACGAATTTATTAAGAAATTCTAACACTTTTTTATAACACATCAAAAATTATGGGACTACTCTTGTACACGCATTCTTGGACTCTGCTGTCCACGCTATTAAATGGAAAAAAATCAATTGCAATTTATTTAGACTTAAGGGGATAATACACAAAATTATTAAATCTAAGTTTACAAAACATATTCCATGTCAAATCAGTGAATTATCCAACAAAAAATTTCTTAGGTAGATAAAATGTCAAAAGTAATAAACCTCGCATATATAAATATGATTAAGTAAAAACAACCTTACGATTTGAAATTCTGTTAGAGTACGACTTCACGTGCAAAGGTAAACTACATAAAGTGGTATAGAAGGATATACAGATTCGGAAATACAGAACAGATTTGTTAGTCACGAGTTCATTTATGAAGCATAATAATTAATTATATTACGTTTTAGGTATTCCTATTTCAAAACACTCGAAAATAAACACTTTCAATTTAGCTTTAGAATATCCATGAGTTATGGACAAAATTTATTGCAAGAATTTGCAAAATTTCTTTTATTTTCGAATGAGTCCTTAAATGTGATATACATTTCTGTATTAGATTAATATCTAACTGTAAACTACGTGACACCGATTATTTATAATATACAGTGTTAAACAATTACAGCCATAGCTCTTAGGATAGAACAGGTACAAATACGAATGTATCACTTACACTTTCGGGAATATAAATTTCCTGAAATTGAATTACGAAATTTAACATAAATTACTTTGAAACCTATAATGACGTTTTAGAAATTATAATTATATCTTTAAACATAAGATAAATGATGTTTAAATTAAATGCCAAAAAATCAATACCGTTTCGCTTAAGGAACGACGTTAGAAAAAAAATTATAAAACGTAATACCTATTAAACTTACGTCTCTGCATATATCTTCAACATTGTCCGTATCGGTATGAATACTTGTTTTTTGAATGGCACCCTGAAATGTGACGGAATATTAATTTTAGTTTTTTTGTTTGTTATAAATAGATTTTATGTTATGATCAAAATAATATCATTAAATGGTTATCGATCTTGCAATTTAGAAAGTAACTCGTAATAAATACTGATTTCTAAAGCACAAATACTCTTAGCGTGATCTATAATAATAATAATTGTAATACTTAATTTTTAAACATATATTCATAAAACTAATTAAATTGAGTCTTAATTAAATAGTATTGAAAATCTTCTTAAAAAAAAAACAACTCAATGTCTGGGCTAAAAGCTTAAAACTCTATAATAACAATTGCTAAACAATTGCCTTAGAGAGGTTGCAGTTTAGTGTCTGATTTACGAAGTGAAAATACGTTCTATGACACTTGAAATCCTAGACAGTTCTACAATTCCATACTCAGAGGACAGCCGTTCTAAACTTGAGATATTAATTTTCTTCTAGTGTTTATCGACTAAAAGAGTTTCGTCACACCTTCATGATACACATTATTACCTCAGAATTTTTATTTATATTTTGAAAACTTTAACTTATTTATTCATTCTTATATTCATTAGGTTTTCCAGTTTTATTTCTTAGATGCTTTACTTTGAATGATTTTTAAGCTTTGTATTCGTAAAAACTCAGAGATTGTGACATAACCATAACCCTCAAGCTTAATATAGTCCTCCACATTAGGTAGGGCCGCGCTTGTGCTTATTTGTGCGTTTTATAATGAGGAGGAATATCACAAGCCATCGAGATTCTTTACAGACGTAAAGAATTCAGTGAACCTTGTGTATACGTTGTTTCAATTTGGCCGTGCTAGTTGGCGAGGATAGATAAGGTTTAGATTGTGTGTGCTATCACTTGTTACTGTCGTTCTGTGTTCGTTGGATTGCAAATACTATTTTCCCTTCAACCTGGATTTCCAAGGGATCATTTAAGCTTTATTTGGTAATGTGCTAACTTCACCAACGAAGAATTGAGGGGAATTTCAGCTCCCTCGAGAACTGTTTTGTTATTTCTCGAAAGTGATCGGGATCATGTTAGAAGTCTGAAACCGCTGTGCAGATCGACGTTTCTTTGTTGTCACCTTGCTCTGTATGCATACATAAATTATGGGTTTACTAACAGCACTTATACGCCTTCGTATTTCTTCCTTTGAAACACCTCAAGTTTGAAAAGAACATTTTAGTTAATGAAATGAAATGGTTTTATGAAAAATTCTTATTAAAAAAAACTATGATATGAAAAAAGTTGTATGTCAATTTTCTTACCGTCACGTAATTTACTAAAGTTGAACCAAATGCTAGCAAAATCGTAAAAACAATAATTTAGCAGCACGTGTTACATACCGGTACGAAAACATAGAGGGGTGTTAGCTTAATGAACTCATAACGGCTGATTTAATATCGGGGTTAGAATGCATTAGCGTTTGTAAGTTAGGCATGAAACGCTATTTAACGGGCTTTACTTCCAGTTTGTTATTCGAGGATAATAGGATGATCTGCTAAAGCGTAAGTTTGGAATTTACTGCAACAACAATCTAAATTTATAAATATACATTGGTATATCTATATGTCTTATTACCTTAAACTATTTTTTCCAAGCATGTAGAAAAAAGTGAATACGAAGGAAAAAAAGTTAAAGTGCCGCTTTTATTTATTGGAAAATTTTACAGTTTAAGTTCAATCTTAAGTGCAGAGGTTAGCGATAAAAATAAAATTAGTTATGGCATCGTTAACTTCAAACTAGCAAAAGTTTGAATCTGAGTAGAAGGTACAGGTACAGGTGAACAAATGTGAAATAAAGAGGTTAATGTGAATGAGTGCAATATAAAGTGATGTGCTGAGAAAGGAAAAAAAGTCGTTTAGGTGTGAAATAAGAAAAATTTTGCAAGGCATTCGACTAAGTTTCTCATCAACTTTTGGTTTCCAAACTCCGCGCTTAATGACTGTCAACTGAATGTAGGCAATTTTTCGTCGTTGTTAATGGTAACAAATCTAGAGTACAACCTATCACCTCCAGTATGCCGCAAGGCTCGCATTTGGGTCCAATACTTTTCAACAAATTCATTAATGACATCCCAGAATGTTTCTCTCACTCTGAAGTTTTCATGTTTGCCGATGTAAGAACAGTTTTAGGTAGTAACTCTCCTTTTGCTAATTTTTGTAAAATTATCAACGACAACAGTGATCGCATTGATTTTCAAAATAACTCGATAAAAAAAATAAAAAAATATATTTATAGCTTTTTATCTAGTTAGTCAATAACAATATTTATCAGTTATCGTTAAAAAAAGTTGTTATGTTGATTACCCGTGCACAGTGTACTATTAAATTTAGTTTAGTTATTTAACTTATTTTTATATTTTTTATTTGTACATGTGGTGTTTATCTTTAAGTAATTGTTATGCTAATATATGTTTAATCTTAAGTTATTTATTGTAAGCTTTAAGAAGTATCCAGTGTTGATAATATTTGATAAAACTTTTTAAATAAATAAAAAAATCAGGGGAGGTACTGTACAAAATTGAGTCGTATAGTCAGTAGAGGACGCATTGGCGAATGTAAATTGGGGAAATACTCCGGAGTGGCGGCGTAATTAGTACCCGTCACTGAGGTGCATGTTCAAGTACATACGTATGGATATAGAGGTGGCGCATAAAAGGTGCACCTAACAATTAACTATATGTTTCTAGTCCGCTTATGATGTGATGTTATTGCTTAATTCCTTTTAATGTTTTTATGTAACATAGCACTATATAAAATCTGAAAAATAAATTACGTATAGGTTTGATGAAATTAAAACGGTAACATGTTTCCTTTTAGTGCCAGATATTGTATGTCCAGAACTGGAATTCAAAATACTGGTTTTGGACGTACGTTAAAACTGTAGACTGGTAGAAAATGACTTTGGCATTAAGTCCGCCTTTAAACTAATACAGTTTGTGCATATTGTTTGTAGTTTGTTAGACCCGAATGGCGTAGTGGATAGTGTACCTGCCTCCTGCGCCAGAGGGTGTGGGTTCGATCCCCTCTACTGGAAAAATATTGTGTGATGAACATGGTGTTTTTCTAGTGTCTGGGTGTTTCTATATGTATAATATGTATTTATTTACAAAAGAAAATTATTTTTAAGTGTGTTTATCAGTTTTCTAGTACCCATAGCTTTGCTTAGTTTGGGATTAGAAAATGTTGTGTACAAATGGGTCCTAAATATGTATTTATTTATTTATTTATTTATATAGTGTAAATAAATAAATAGGTATAACTAAACTTTAACTCGATCTATTTAAACAAAGTAAAAGAATCAATACAAATCGGCTCATGTCGCGGAATTTAATGTGCGCATCTTTAGCGGAATTCCGAGCTGCCTTCTAATTTGTTTGTGCAGTGACAGCTAATTTCAAGGCGATATTCGCACAACCCTATATTACTAAACTGTGAGTTGCCAAAAATGTTTCGTAATCAATTATATAAAATTTACCAAATATTAATTACTTTCGTGAACATTTTTTAAATGTTTGTGACTAATCATAGTTTAGAATTTATACATAAAACTATTTAAACAAAATTATAAATATATTGCGAACGTCAAAATCACGAATGTGGTGTCGCATATTGTATAACCTAGTGCTTTTTACGATGCTAGTCTTGACGTTCTCTTAAGGTATAATTCACAAAGACGCATGCACTTAAAAGTTACGTTTTACGTTGTATTCCAACTTCATATAATATTAAAAAAATACATTTTGATTCATAACTCACTCTTAAAGAGTTTATTGATTTGAGTTTATTTAATTAAGACATTGATATAATATATCGCGCCAAAGTGTTTATTTATTACAGAACTTACATCGTACCTCAAATAGTTCAATTTCTAAAATCAATGACTTAATATCGTTTGGATAAAGTTGTCATTATTCAGAATTTTATTAAAACCTATTGAAACCTAAAAGCCGAAACAAATAATTACTTTTACATTGATATTATGGAAACTTGTACTATACAACACAATGAGACTATTAATTTTCTGTGAAATAAATAAATACATTTTAAAATAATGCAACTATTCATTTAATAGGATTTTAAATCATGTCTATATGTGAGTACACGAAAGTTGGTTGGAATATAAACTAAATTAGGGAGACAAAATACCGCATTGACACACAATAATATTAAGATTAAAGAAAATAAAAACATAAATAATTTTTAATGAGCTTCTTAAAAATATTATTCTATTTTAAAATAACTTTTAGGACAGTTAGTAAGTTACTCACTTTAAATGGATCACGCTTCTCTATTCCAGACTGGCCAAAAAAAACCGACGAGTCATCTGAAAAATAAATTTCTTCGATATCTTCTTTCAGGCTCACAGAATCTTGGTATTCGCACTCTAAATGAATAGAAACTGTATCGTTCTTAACAATCAAAAAAATATCATTCCATTTAGTGATTTCCCCATCAACATTTAGGATAACATCTTCATTTTTAAAGCTGCTGCTGTCAAGGTGAACACGAAACGATGTTTCGCTTGTCAGTGTCAAACACAATCTCAGTTTCACTAGCAGTTTCGAATCTAAAATAGCAAACAAGCAGGAGTCCTCTAGTGTTTCGGATTTAAACATAATATTTATAATAAATGGAGCAGTCAGCGTCTTTTTCTCTATAGAAAGGCCTCGTACTTCTGCCTTGACATTGCTCGTCTCCTCAAATTTATTTGCGGGAAGTCCATCGGCCCCGTCGGTGAAGCCTAAATTATCTGTCGGAGTCATCTCGACTACATCTTGAAGTATGTTGTAAACTGAAAATGAACGATTAATTTTATTGCTTTGATAAAATTAATTTGAAAAAATCTTGCATTACTTTTTGTCGTCTTGCATAATTTTTTTAAGTTACAAAATATGTAACTTAAAAACGGTGTTAAATTTGGATGAACAGACCGTATTTGGAAGCGAGTAACGGTGCTAGTAACGACAGGTATTACAATCATGCGAATCCATCGAAAAATTGTATTGAAATTAGAAGATCAATGCTATCACATAACTTTCGAATTTAACCCAAGAACGGGTTGATATTTAAAAGGAATTTATTTTAGTCAGGCGTTGCTGTCCTGTATTTAAATATATAAAATTTATGTTTATTGAAGAAGTCTATGATTACATACGAATACATTCATATACAAAAAGCCTGCTTGTTTGAAATAAATTTTAGTTGTGATAGATGATTTTAATAAAGTTTCGTATTTTTATTGCTAAATATCTCCATTAACACGAACTTCTTATCATTTCCCGTTTGTCAAAGTGAAGGTACATAAATTGTTGAGCTTGTGAAAGAATTTAACACTGTAGGTTCGTTCACTTGTTCCAGTAGCACTTGACCAAACATAGTCGACAAGTTTTAACTGAAATTAGAAATTAAACAGAAAATTTTCTAAAACTTTATCATAAGTAAAACTTTCGATTAAAACACATACGATTTTTTAGTTCTTGCATAGTTTTGTAGTTTTTAGAAAAAGTTGATTGTTATTTTTTTTCAACTGATTATATATTCTTTTGCTACTAAACGAGGCTTTAGGAGCCACTAATATCAACCGCGTACTAATCTTGATAGAAGCTTAATGGCGGCGGTCACGGTAGCTTTTTACATGCAAGTCGAGTACAAAAAATAAGTTGTAACTAACAGAGAAGCCTGTAATTTGATCAGCCATTTCTGTCGGTGAATTCAGCAATTTAAAATTCAAATCACAACAAATTTAGTTATTTTGCATGTCTGAAGTCATTGCTTGAGTTTCTTTTATATTACCTTTTGTATTGTGCGCAACGTGCCTTATTACTTACTATTCAGTAATTTCTAAATTTGTAATTTGTTTTACATAGGCATACGTATGTAACAGAATATCATTTTGTCAAAATACAAAATTAGAGTTTCAAATTGGCTACAAAATAGTAAGCAGGGGCAATGGCAAATAATAGTAATAATTAGCATAAACTTACCCAATGATTGGCTTTTTACGGAATTTGTGAAATAAAGTAGGAGGCCCATGTATCTGAAAATAGAAATATTTATTATTATAATTAGGTGTAATTGTTTTAATATATCGAAACGGCGCGGCTGAAACGCGCGGCCGTTGGCTGAAAAAACGAAGCGGCCGTTGACTGGTTTAAAAATTGTCCTTATGCTTAAAAAAATCTGCTACAACTATTTAAAAAGAATTCACTAAACTAAGAAATTCTTACTAAATTCCCTTATGATAATTACCGAAAGCTAATATCGACTATAAATAACTCTAACATAAATATATTCAATTATTATTCAAAGATAGACACAACTTCGAGAGTACCGTTCCCAACAATAACAGGTACGGGTTCGATTTATATATAAGAAAAGTCAACGGCTTATAATTTCTTTTTGTTGTAAGTCAAGCTTATAAATTCTTCCATATACACGGCTTTTCAGCCGTTACTGTGTCAGGAATGATCAAAGATACGAGTACCAACACACAAAATGCAATTTTGCCGTGATTTATCGGCATATTTCTTAAGGCATTTACACTAAAAACTCCAGGCGCCTTTAAATGATGATTTATGCCACGACGTAGCATTAACAACAGTGACAGACATTCTATGGAATCTAAATGAGTCACCAGTATTAAAGACAACTAGTAATGTTTACGTTTTCTTGGGACATTAATGTGCGTAAGTTACTAATTTATGTCCCAATACATTTTATTAAATTAGAATATTAATAACTAAAAAAATAATGTAATAAAATAATATTAATATTAATTATTGATTATAATGCAAGTTTTCAAATACGACGATAGTTTTATATTAATATAAATTAATCAGTACAATCTCATACTTTGCGGTGGTAGGGACACGCAGCACCCTCGGCTGTTGCACGAATGGGCAAGCCTGTCCGGGTAAGTACCACGACCTCACAGACGTAAAGTGGAAGTATGATAAATGCTTTCGCGTTTCGTCTGGTGAGTGAGGTAGCCGGAGCCCAATTTTCAAAAGGTGGTCAACGCATCTGTATCCCTCGGGTGTAGCAGATGTCCATGGGCGGCGGTATTCACTTAACATCAGTTGAACCGTCTGCTCGTTTGGCAACTTTTCACATAAAAAAACATACGTTTTACATTTCAATTAACTCAATGAACCTTTTAGTAAATTCGTTTGGGATTGCATCCGTTTTGATTAAAATAATGAAAGTTTCAATTATGCCTCTTTTTGGTTTAAGCACTGTTCACATGAGCATTTGTGGATTTAGCAGGTCGTCTAGTGGGCCAAAAAGCCTTATGTTAAATGTGGATATAGTCGTGGATCCTTTGGCGATTTTTATACATTCCAGAACCCTCAAAAAAACTTGTTATTATTATAAATTTTCGACCGTAAGCATCGAAGCTCTTTTTTGGAACCAACAAAGGTCACTTTAAAAATGCAACGTGGAAGCAGTAGAGGCTTAGTTCTTGGGGATTGGGGATCGGATCTGTGGTCACAGATTTGAATCTGGAAACGATTTTTATATTTGATAACTTCGAAAGAAATTACTGGCCATGTCAATTTTCGTTTTAATAATAAACTCGATAAATCTTAAAATGAGTACAATATGTTGTATAACATATATGAAAAATATTATATTTATTATAATTGCCTTGCATAATATTCACTTAAAGTATGCTGCATTATTGACCCAGCGTTACATTGAGCAAACATTAGAACAACTTACTTGAATGTCATAACATAAATAATATTTATTTTATAAAATTAGTTTCTTCTTTCCGAAAAAAAAAAATGGTTGAATTATTCATGAAGATTTATATATGATGTTTCAAATTATAAAGAGACAACAAAACTATACAAACATTAATAGTTCAAGTTTAAGGTTAACGTATACACAATTATTTGAATTTAAATGCTTATTAGAGAGATAAGAAATAAAAACACTTTTTCTGTTCTTATTCTTCAGACTTTAGTCTGGCAAATAATGTTTCTCTGAATTAAGATATGAAACGGTCTGAGTTAAAAACTATTTCGGTTTAACGATATTAAATAGTTTCCTTATTTTTTTCTAATATATAATATTTCATCAGGAATGATTGAAACAGAAGTATAATTTTATTTCATTTAAGAAGCGCTCTATGGTGAAATAATTATTACCGTCATTCTGAACTACTGCCATAGTATTTTTTCTCGATTACAGTGTGAATTCTTACACAAATTGTTATCTACACATATTTATTTATTTATACTTTATGCACCAACTATTTATACACCAAAAAAGTGCAAATTACAAAAGAATTTAATAGGAAGTACAATAGGCGGTCTGATCGCACTGAAAGCAATTTCTTGCAAACAACCATTGCGAAAAGAAATTTTAATAAAGAGACATAGAGAAGAGAGCAGAGGGAGGTGTTAATGAATCCATTATAAACACAGGATGAAATCATTTATACAATAATTTATACAATCAATGAAATAGGCTAAACTTTCGGGAAAAATAGCAAAAAGGAAAGCATGTTTTCACAATTCCAAGTAAAGAGTTTTACTAGGTTTTTAAAAGAAACTTAGCTTGTCGAATATACATATATGAGGCCGAGCAAAGCAGAACATCCTAATCTTTTATCTTTCTAGCTATTACAATTAGAGACTCGTTAGTAAAGTAAAGTAAAGTAAAGTAACAGCCTATACATGTCCCACTGCTGGGCAAAGGCCTCCTCTATACAGAGGGTATCAGGGCATAGTCCACCACGCGGCCCCACTGCGGATTGGCGGACTTCACATATCTTCGAAGTATTTTTTTGTTATTATTTCGAAAATATGCAGGTTTCCTCACGATGTTTTCCTTCACCGCGGAGCACGTGACAAGTCAGCACTTAAAGTTAAAAACTTCATTGGTGCTGGCACCGGGGATCGAACTCAGGTTGCTCGAGTATATTGAATTGAAGGCGAGCGCCCGGACACTAAGCTATCACGGCTCTTAGAGACTCGTTAAATGATAGTAATTATTTTATTAGAATTAGCATTATTTAGAACACATTTACTGCAATCTGATGATAGCATTTGACAGATATTTACTATTATAAAGGTGAACTAAGATGTTTACTTTCTATGAAAGTGAGACTCGATGACTGAGTGGCACAGATGCCAATGTATTGGCTTCGGCGACGGGGGTCGTGGGTTCGATTCCCACATGGGACAACTATTTGTGCGACCCACAGATTAGTTGTTTCGCATCTGGGTGTTAATCCTCGTGCAATTTATGTTTGTAAAACGTCCTTACAACACAGGATAGTGTTATCATAAAGTGAGGGCAATGTTTTATAAACTAATAAATAATAAATAAAAAGGATCCTGTCTCTATAATTTATTGTATTCATTTCATACAAATTTATATAAAGTATATGATTACGTATATTGAAAATACTTATTATTATATTATAACGCAGGTCCACCCTCCAAGGGCCTCACAGAAAACCGGCGTGAAGTGGAAGTGTTATACTTCTGCGTTTCGTCTTGTGAGTGAGGTAGCCGGGGTCCGGGGTTTATTGAAAGGTGGCAACGCATCTGCAACCCCACAGCTGTTTCAAATGTCCATGAGTAATCACTTAACATTAGGTGAACCGCCAGCACGCTTGCCACATTTTCAAATAAAAAATATTATAACAAAAATATTCATATATATTTTCAATTAATTTAGATTCTAGAGCATGCGAGTTTCACGATAATGGTTATTTATTAAGATATTTATAATGATATTTTGATTTAATTAATTTATAGAAACTACGAACCATCACTCATAACATCGTATAAATTGAAGTGATGATTAATTCCATTTGAATCAGTTCGAGTATCACGGTCGAAGTTTGTCCGAAATTATTCCGAAAGTGTTCTAGGAAGCACTTGGGTTAGTTCGCAGCGATGTAACAGGAGTGTAAGCGGTTTAATGTAACGTAACAAAGCCCGTGGGCGATGGAGAACAACCGACATTTAGCGTTATAGGAGCACTGGCGCTAATTTTGAAAGTGTAACGATTTGTTAAACGGCAAGTGAAGTGTTACAACAAACGATTCCCGGATACAGCGTTTAATGATACGCGCACGAAGTTTAACGTCCGTAACCGGCTCTAGAATTTTACTTCTATCGGAGAAACGGACTCGGTTTACATCCGAATTAAACCGAAATCAACCAGTTAACGATAAAACGAGGAAATTATTTTATTTTATTTATTATATTTTTATTATTATTTTCCCCAAATAGATACAGCTATTAATATACGTATAAATACAGAACATTAATAAATAAACTAATTACATTTTTTAAACATATAACATACTAGTAAAAATACCAGGCAGACATATAGGTTGAGTATTGTTCGCAAGTTCTCAGGGTTCCGTACGAACTTAATCGTATTTTAGTTCATTAACAACACAACGATTTTCGGATCTTTATCGTTACCCTACCTTGCTCGTTGCTAAGTTGTTTGATTCTAGATTAACAGGCACGTTACATATATGTTTTTCTGGTATGAGTGGGTTAACGATAATCAATATAAGGCATTCAATCAATAGGGCAATTTATATAGGGCATTCATTTGGAAGCTGAAATTTTTATACTTATATGGTAAAAGTTAGTATTTGACATAATTTTCAATCTACATGATCCATCTAATTTAAGATCTCCTCTATCTTTTAGTATTTATCTCCTCTATATTCTATTTAGGGTTTTACTACAGACAGGCGGACAGGTGGAAGTACAACATAGTTACACTATAAGAACTTCGTTTATATCGATTTAATATTTAATAATGCTCAATTAAATATATTTATCAATTTTTTCGAAATAAATTTATCAAATCTCAGTAATAATAAAACGTAAATTATAAATTAACTCTTTTACTAGTGACAGGCTGACGGGCTTATTACACACACCTGAAACATTATCCTTTCTATAAGCGTATAATGTTAAAAAGGTATTAAATCAATCAGACTGGGTTGCGATAGCTAGCGAATTTGTTAACCGTTGACTAAAGTCTTCAATCAAT